AAAAAGGTGAAGAGAGGGGAAGAGTAGAGATTGCGCTGGAGGGTCACAGAGGTCGTGGAGGGACCTTCAGAGGCTTGGGTCTGAACTGGGAAAGGAGCGTTACTGCCACTGAAACAGGCACTGGGGAAGTCTTCCTCCCCCTCTCCCCTCATGAACCCTTTGACTATCAGTTATTTTTAGGTGGAGTGTGTTTTTCCAGGAGGAGATGAGAACCAGAGCAGCCCGTGTGTCAGGCAGGAAATCACGTGGGACTTTTTCAGCCCAGCATACCCGGATTCAACTCCTTGCTCTGCCACTTTCTGCCTGTGAACCGTGGCATTCTGGGAGCCTCAGTTTTCTTATCTGTAAAATGGGGATAATAAGTAGCAATTCCCTCAGAGCAGTGCTGTGGAAATTAAATGAGATGTAATGTGCTTAACACATAACCAGCACTTGATAAAATTAGCCACCACGACGATAGGGTCCAAACTCTACATCTTATCCTAAATGTCCCATGGTTATAGCCACCGAAGGACCAGTGCAGGAGGTTCCCGTGCCCTCCGTTAAGCACCGGGGTTGGAGATCTCTGGCTGTGCACTCTTAGAAGTTCTCTCCATTGGTAAGAGGCACACCTTGCTATGTGGATGCTGAGAGCCTGCTGGCCCTTCTGCCCATCCTGCGATGGGGAGTCAACCTGGGCATGCTCCCAGCACTCACCTGGAACCCGGCCGTATTTCCTGAAATGTGGCCCTAGGACCAGCTGCAGCGGAGTCACCCAGGGCTCTGGTAAATGCAGATTTCCAGGCCCCATCCATATCCTCCTCCGTCAGGATCTGTAGGGTGTGGGGCCCTGAAATCAGCATTTTAAACACACTCCGGTGACTCCGATGTATCTTAAAGCTTAGGGGGCCTCTAGAGCAGGGGCAGAGCTGGTAGGACTCTGATCTAGAGTAACTGTGGCTCAACCCCCCAGCAGGCTTGGTGGGCGAAGCAAACCCATGGGCCTGTGATAGCAGACCCTTCCTCGGGAGGCGCCTGGATGGCAAATCACATCTAGGCGTCATCACTCCTAGATGACTTAAGAACACTGAGAAGATGATGGCCACGAATGTCTCCTGGGGCCACCCCCAAACAGCCCTGCATATAATGACAGCTTCCAGGGCCGGTACTACCATATATTATAGTTGGTCGAAGGCCACTTGCCATAGAACGAACACATTTGCCATTAAAAATAATCTCTTTCTTTCGAAATGATTTTCGATTTGCAAGAAGTTGCAAAATGGTAGAGTCCCATGTATCCCGCTTCCCCCTAATGGTGACGTCTCCCCCAACTGTAGTGCAGTATCAAAGCCACGAAACTGATGTGGATCTAATCCTGTTGAACTAGACTGCAGACCTTGTTCAGAATCCACCCGTTTTTACGTGCACTTCTGCGTGTGTCTAGTTCTACGCGATCTTATCCTGCGTTTTGTCTGAATGGCCTCGTTCTGTGTCTGGCTTATTCCCTGTTTGTGTGGTGCTTTTAAATACAGATATGCAGAAGAAGAAGGCAGATTCCTTTTCTGTGTGTGTGTGAGTGGGGGGTAGGGCGGGGCAGGTAATTAACTAGTCGAGCTGCCTGCATTTCGATGATCAGTGTGCATCCTTCTTCCAGGCAGAACCCCATGCTAGCATCTTTCTGGAATGCCCTCCACGGGGAGACCTAATTTATTAAGGAGAAGGAAGCACGAGGCTCGTACAGCCGGTTTTGATTTGCCTCCGATCTTGTCAGGGCGTAATGATTCCATTTCATGTTTGGCAAATCACATATTTCTCATTGAACAATGACTAAATTGCAAGCTGGAAGTTTTTAAATGAAGTCATTTAT